ACCAAGGTCCTAGTGATATGACCCCCTCCTAATAAGGATTTGGGCTTAATATACTTAATACACTTTTAGAGATGCTGAATAAAACCCAAATGGATGAAGACAGATGATGTCAGCTATGATTAGTTGTGGCATCTTTGAGGTCTTCAGGTATAATTCTTTTTTCAATTAATGACATAGATGTTGAAAAGGTAGCTTTATTAACATCCACTTCTATCATATTGATCTACAATCTGAACCCCAACTCAAAAGACTCTTCTTGTTTTCATCAAGTGGGTCAGAATTCAATTTGTGCTTAATTCTCCAGTTAAACTCATTAGGAAATCATGTTTTAATTTGTTTAGACAATATTGGTAGTATTTTTAAAGTATTTTCTGTACTGAAATATTAATGTTATTGGGCTAGAAGCAACCTTCCTCCTTTGGATAATTTAGAAGGGCTCAAAATATATTTATTTTTCTCAGGCCTTTTAATGCCACCATTTTAGAATTTGTGTTTAATATCCATTCTCATTATTCCTTTTATTCTACATTTCATGGAGATCAGTGGTGTTTTATTGCATCTTGTAAATCACCAAAAGTTGTTAAAGGAATAGGCAACTTACAGCTTTTTAAAATATATAATGTGGATGAGATGCAAATCCATGCACCTAAAATGAATTTAAAAGTAGACAGTTAGCTGGTGCATAATCTCTTTTAGTCCCAAGTTGATGGTGAAGCTTCTATCTTCTCTCCTCCACTCAAAATCAATCCAAATTCTATTCTAAATTGGCTCTTTTGTTCTAGCAGGCAGCTGTACTGACTATCAGCCCCCCCTCGAGAAGAATGGCTTCCTGCCTTAGCCCTAATAGCATTTCCACAGGGGGAAGGGACGTTGAGTGGCTGCATTAGTTTTTTTCTATGTTCAGCTGCACCACAGTTGCCATTTAATTTCATCAGCGATTGCAAGTGTATGTGTATGTGTAACACTGAGCCTGCATCACACAAGAGGACTGTTCTTAAAATAGGTAAGTAATTGATCTTAGCAATTCATTTTTGTTAAAGTTTAAGATTCTAATTGCATTTTAAGTGTATCTGTCTTTAGCAGATAGACAATGTTTCTACAGCAAGAGAAGCTTTAAGTTTCTTTTCTATGATCTTGGGAACATAACTAACATAATTGTTTCCCTTCGTGGAAAGTGGAGAATATATGAAAACAAGTCCTATTATTAAAACAAAAAACAAAACTGCCTTGTATGTCCTACTCACTTTGTGCTTCTCCCAGCAGGCCCAAAATGGAAAACTGAAGCTTTGACCTCCAAAAAATTGTCCCTTCTACTCTGGAATAATACTTGCATCTGTCTCTGGCCCAACTTATTTTTTTTTTATTTATCGCAAAAGTCCCACAAATAAGCATTTCAGCACTTAACTAGTACTATCTTACAAAATAAGAAAAAGAAACTTTGCTTTAATTGCTTTTTAAAAATGCCCACACCTTTCAACCTATACCATGTTCTTCAGCAATTATAAATATTTAACCAGGAAGAACCCAAATCGAATGGATTGATGTTGGTTCTAAATACCTTAATTCAGTTTCTTGAGAGAATAATTTGTGGTTTTCATAAGTTGGGGTGAAGCAATAACAAATCTAAGAAAATTGAAATCCAATCATACTATGCAATAAGGAGATTTTATTCTGAAGAACAAAAGCTCTTTTCTCAAGGGTAGACTATGGAGAAAATGGGCTGCAGGAATTTGGTTTTATAACAGGACTGGTCCTTTGTGTGAACTTGGGGTTTATGTACATGTTGGTCTCAATGTGTCCTTCCTATGCAATTCAGTTTTGAGCTCTGATCCTGTGTGAAATGTGGAAGAGGTAGGAACTTTGCCCTCAGATAGGTAGACTCCATCTCTGGCGTCTCCCCACCCCACTCTGAGGGAATTCCTGTCTTCCCATGGAGCCAGTGAGGTGCCAAGAAAGGAGGGGAGGCAGATCAGAGATCTTTTAAGCTTCTAACATTGGTAAAACCACATTGAATCAACGGTGTTAATTATTTTAAAGCTCATTTGTCAAGAGATTGACTGAGCTAGGGCTCATATTCTTAGTCCTTTACAAACCATGCCTCAAAGATAATTTAGAGCCTTTTAAAACCTTATCTTCAGTTCTATTATAGTAACAAGGAAAATAAGTTAGATCCAATGGAGCATCAGTTGGAAATTAAGAACTAAATTATTATAATTATTTATTCCACTGATATTAACAGACACTATATAAGGTGGTTTCTACACAATGAAAAACTGAACAATCATTTCCAAAGATGCAAATCCCACTTTTTTATATCATCCAATAAAATTATGGTGTTTAACCCTCTCATCCCTATTAATTAACACTGAATAAAGAGTAAGGACATTTTTTAACTATATGAAAGAATCTCATGTAATGATAGCAATTTCCTCAAATAATTAAAGAATGGCATTTCACATGTTGGTCTGTCTTCTCTCCTGCTTTAACCATTCACTTACAGCTGCTCTTCTCACACAGGTTTGCCTTAGCGCAGACAGAAAGGCAGGAACATAGAGGAAATTTTATCCTATAGACATACATGTTTAAGGAAGGGATGTGGGATAAGATAGGTAGCCTCAATCTTACCTTCCTACAAATGTTAAAGTTTAATTTATTCAGAAGCATCTGAATAAATTAAAGATATGACAATTTTCTCCATAAGAAATCTAAGAAATATGGGGGGAAATTATCATCTTACAGAATTTCTTCCTACACCCTTCATAATAAAATTATTTATTTGATTAACCTGTTTAGATCAGGGCTGTCAAACTCGTGGCCTGCGGGCCGGATGCATCACGTACTGGCCACGCCCCACCTAGTTTAGCAAAGGGGGGGAAAGTCCCGATATGTCATGTGACAATGCCATGACAACATGAGTTTGACACCCCGTTTAGTTTATAGCAGACAACAAAGAGTAGGAATTAATCCGTAAACAACATTTTATACCATACCATAAATTCTTTGAAGTGGCTGCTTCCAACAACCAATCTTCAACACAATTTTTGGGCTAAGTAACTAAAATGATTTGACCAACTTTCAGTATAACTTCATTTATTCAGGGCAGACACTATCCCTGAATCATTTTCCAAAGGTGATTTTATACTTTTTCAAATAATTTCAGAAAGATACATTTCTTCTCATTTTAAAAAGAAGCCTAGAAATAAAGAGAAGGAAATATATTTTCTTTCCCAAATTGATTAAGAGATTTTATGTAAGAATAACCCTATTGGGGGTGGGGGGGATTTTCACAATAGACTATAGCAGTACTTTCATGTACATTTCATCCCATGGTAATACTTCACTTGTATTTCTATAACAGAACACATTATTTTCACTTTAAAACTATCCTACCACATTCAACATTTTGTCCACAGATGCAGTTACATTATTTTGTTTTTTGTTTGAATTTTACACCAGAAAACATCATTGGAATACAGCTGCCATCTGCTGGATACATGACTTGCTATGTTTTTCTATCAGTTTCTGAGAATGTTTTCAAATCAACCTGATAGCCATATCAACCATATATTATGCCAATCTATTTTCATGTACATTGCCCTCTTTGAACTTGGGGTCCATTAATCTCCTGCCAAATGGTTAGACTGTCACCATTGGTCTTAGTTGTAGTGTCCAGGGGTGTCCAACCTTGGCAACTTTTAAAATTTGTGGACTTCTATTCCCAGAATTCTCTAGCCAGTGTGGCTGGCTGAGAAATTCTGGGAGTTCAAGTCCACAAGTTGTCAAGGTCCACAAGTTGTCAAGGTTGGGCACCTCTGTTGTAGAATATTTCCTCCCCACTCTGGACTGTCAAGTAAAAGAGGAAATGCCATTTCCTTTATAAATTAAAAGTATTGTATTACAGTGGAAAATAGTTTAGTCTTTTCTAATATACTTACCGGTAGGCCTGGCAGGTAACTCAATATGTCATTTTATAAAAATTCTCTTTAAGTTTAGAGCATAATGTAAATTTTAGTTCATTTAGCCAAGTTTTTTTTTAATCATTGTTCCATTTGCATATTCTAAGCATATTCTAAGCAAAGTTTTGGCCCCTTTGTCATACATTATTCTACTCCTTTTTCTCTCTCACATGTCAACATCATACATTTTTACATACATTACAAATCATAGATTTTAGCAATAACATTAGCATATCTGTAGCACCTAATTCAATATCATCATTCGATTAATAGTTGACTGGAAACTCCTTGCAGAGTTTTTGCATGAAATGGGGAAAATGCACTTGTAACAGAAGGTTTTAATGATTAAAAATGGTCAATAAAAAACAGTGAGAGCTTTTTGTAACCAGAGTCTAAGAGATAATTTTATTATATCTGCTACAGGAGAAATTAGAAACTTCTTTCTATCTTTTTATTGTTTCTCTCTGCACTTTTTAAAGTTTTCTTTCTTTCTCCCTTTATTATATTAGTGTTGTTATGTTTTCTTTAAAACATTAAAAAAAAAGACAGTGATGTCCAGTCAACGAAGCAATCTGGACCATGCTCACAAAACAAACTCGACAATCCTGGGCAGGGGTCTCCAACCTTAGCAACTTTAAGACTTATGGACTTCAACTCCCAGAATTCCTCAGCCAGCGACTTTAAGACTTATGGACTTCAACTGCTAGAATTCCTAGCTGAGGAATTCTGGGAGTTGAAGTCCCCAAGACTTAAAGTTGCCAAGGTTGGAAAGCCCTGTCCTGGGGGATCTGGCTTCACGCCTCGGCTAAGCCCAGCAACTGAATTTCCACACAGTGGTTGAACAACGCCCGGCAGACCCGCCCAACGCGGTTTCCCGAGGCGACCACTGGAGGCGCTCTTCTTTCTCGTTAGGAGCGTCGCAGCCAATCCGCTTACCCTAGCAACGGTGCCGGTTGACCTTAGCAACGCTTGGCGCAAACTGTAAAAGGCGAAGCGTTTCGGCCAGGCGAAGCGCGAAATTTCGCGCTCGCCCGCTTTTCCCAAATGGAAGAACCCCCCGAAGACCAGCCGGGGACCCCAGATGCCACGCCCGGGGACCCCAACGTGCCCGATGCGGACGGGGTCCCCCGCGAAGAGAGTCAGCCGCTGGGTCCGGCTCCGGTGCAGCCCCAGCGAAGCGCCGTCTATCAGCCCGAGCAGCCTCGTCTGAGCGTCTACGATCAGCAGCAGGAAGGCCGAGGCAACATCTACCAGCCCCAGCAAGCCAGAGGCGCCCTCTTTCAATCGAGGGGCGCCACGGCGGATTCGAGGGCCGGCGTGTCTTGGCAGCAGCTGCCGCAGCAGCCACCCGGCTTCCTGGATCAGAGGCCAGGGACCACTTTCCCAACCTCGGCATCCAGGAGCAGCCAGATCCTGCAGTCGGACAGTCACGGCCCTTATCAGCCCCACGAACCTGGCTACCTGTCCCAGCTGGGGATGATGAGTTTATACGAAGACCAAATTCCGGATCCGGGTCCTCGGGCTTTGGCGATCAAGAATGCCAAAGCCTACCTGTTGCGAACCAGCGTCAAAACGGGCGTCAGCTTGTGAGTAGCAGAGGAATGGATCCAAAAACTGCCTCGGCCAGGAAACCTGCACCCGCAGGTGCCAGTGGTTCTCAGGCAGGGCTGTGTTAATGCCTGGGCCTGATGGGCACTTGCCCCTGGGCCCCATACTAATCTGTGTACATTGGGGGTCCCCAAACTTGGCAACTTTAAGACATGTGGACTTCAACTTCCCAGAATTGAACTTAAATTAAATTAAAACGTCTTAAAGTTGCCAAGTTTGGAGACCTCTGGTGTACGTTAACCCTTCAATCCACCTTGCGTCATATAAACAGAGCAAGCTATTGCTTACATTTTACTGTGTTTTTAAAAAATTAATACTAACCTGCAAATATATGTTTCATTGTATTGACCGTTTTTATTCCTGTGAGTAGTTGTCATAGGGGCCCCAGTACACTGCTTTGCCCGGGCCCCTTAATGCTGTTAAGACAGCCCTGTTCGTGGGGAAAGAAAAAAAAAAGAAACAAGAAAAATTGCAGGCAGTGTTGGGTTTGCCTACCATGCTCCGTTTAACTTTTGTGGTTGTGGGAAGCCGGCCATTGTGAGTTTTTGAGCAATGGAAGTCCAACCAGAGTTTAACGTTTGAACCAATGGGTACATTTTAGAGCTGGATTGGGAAGCGGGACCTCACACAAAAAATAAGAAATTTATACTTATGCGATTGCTGCTGCAGAAGCCCAATAAGACACTAGATGGCAGCAAAGAGATAGAGGAAACTCCAGCCTTTTAAGTCAAAACCCTGATATTTGCAACTCGGATCTGATAAATTTGCAGAACCTGTAACTCCAAAAGTTACAGAAGTTGATCTCATTTATCTCCAAACTCTATTTAAAAATATTACTCCGTCCCAGCTTTAAAGATTATAAAGGAGCACTGAGCTTTTAAATTAATCCAAGCTGAATAATAGTTTCCAGAATTGTCATTGGATTAGTTTGCTTGAGTAAAACCTGAGTTGTGTGGCCTGTTTTTAAAATAGATACATTTCATAAGTCTGCTATACCTGGGTAGCAAATATTTGCATCTCTGCTAAATGACAGCAAAGAACTTTCAGTATCCTTTTACTGATACCTAGATTTTTGACACTCTAAATTTATTATGGCATACTTGAGGATTATGCTGTAACAAATTTAGCTCACTTCATTGGATGCATCAACCTTAAGAAATGGATTACAGACCACAAAGGCTTGTATCACTATTTATTTACAATTACATGGATATTCTGTGTTTTGTACAGGAGCTCAACACTGTACATAATGCTCCCACTTTTTGTTCTCCTTTTGAGATCAGTTGGACTGGGACAAAATTTCTGTCCAAATGTCACCCCATGCTTCTGTGATGGAGGATGAACTAAAAGTTAGTCCTCCATCCTCTGAGCCCAGCATCTTGATGATAATAAAGTTTGTAACATCTTCAGGTGTCACAGGTCTTCTTCTCTGACAATGGTTGGTTTTAAAGCTAATGAAGTAGCATGGGAGAGGAATGAGCCAGTGATTGGTGGTCCTAGTTGGTCAATAGCAATTCTTTTTCATAATTACATAGGTATGACCATCTTTCTGACATGTTGGCAAAGATTCTGGAAGAGCGGCCTGAAAATCCAGCAGATATAATCGAGAACATCAGTAAGGATATAAAGTGTGCTCGATTCCAAAAGAAATTGGACACCCTCCGAGATGAATTTGAAAAACATCCAACATTTGAATTGGCTGAAATGTACAAAACTCTGTTCCAAAAGGCAGGTGGTGGAGATGGCGCAGATCAAGAACCAGAAGAGGAATTGGTGAGTCAGTCCAATAAAATAGTCCTTCACTTATAACCACAATTGAGCCCAAAATTTCTATAGCTAAGTAAAACATTTGCTAAGTGAATTTTGCTCCATTTTGCCCTATTTTATGGGGCATGTACATGCTGCATGGTTGTAGAAAGAAGATAGATAAACAGACAAACCTTATACAGGTATTCCTTGATGTACAGACACAATTGAGTCCAAAATTTCCATTGTTTTTTTAAAGTTTTTATTTCTTAAGACAAACATATGCAAACAAAACATAAAAATATAAAACCATCTTCCATTTTATATAAATACAATGTGTCAGTTGGTTACAAATCTTTTGTGCTATCCTTTTGTAGTCATTACTCACAGTTTATATCAATTTTCATATTGTCAAACTAACATATGCTTATATATTTATCAGTTATTAATCATCCATGACTAAACTATTTATTCCATCATTTTATACGAGATATTCCAAATTTTATTTTAAAATTTATGTTACACTTTCATCTAATGGTTATATATGTCTATATTATATTTTATATCAATCTATTAAATTTCTATTACAAAATTATCTAGTCTAGTACAAAATTTCCATTGTTAAGTGAGACATTTGTTAAGTGAGTTTTCCCCCATTTTACTGTTGTTAAGTGAATCACTGGAGTTGTTAAATTAGTAACACAGTTGTTAAGACAATCTGGCTTCCCTGTTGACTTTGTCAGGGGATTGCAGAAGGTGGTCACATGACCCCAAGACACTGCAGGCATCATAAAACAACCATCATAAATATGAACCAATTGCCAAGCATCCAAATTTTGATCATGTGACTACAGGACGCTACAATGGTCATAGGTGTGAAGAATGGTCATAAGTCACTTTTTTCCAGTGCTGTTATAACTTCAAACGGTCACTACATGAACAATTGTAAGTCAAGTATCAGTATATCTCAAGCAGATGCATATTCATTCACAGTTATATTACACAAATGATTAGGGATGGAGATAAATGTGGGATTTTCTGCATAATTTTCATCAACCGTTTGATAGAATTTGTACCATGGGTTGATCATAAGTTTCATAAACTATTTGGTACGTTTGTACCATGCTGGTTAGCTTGATCAAAAGCAGGTTATCTGCTACTCCAGTTAACCCTATATTCAGGTAGTAGACTATATTCAGGTAGCATTGTACTCTTGCACGCAGTAATTTTTCAGACTATTCACTGCAACGAACATTACATGGGAGGAAAATGTCAAGGCTATGTATTACTTGTGAGTGAATCCTATTAAATTCAGTGCTAAATTATAAGTATGTTTAGGATTGCTCCAGTAGGAATAAATGCTTATAGATATAGTGAAACACTATTCCATTATTATGCTTCCTAATTGAAGGTTTTCCTCTTTAGCCAGAAACTCCTCTACCCAATGTAATGGAGACAGCTTACTATTTTGAACAGGCTGGAATTGGTTTGAGCTCAGAAGAATACTATCACATATTCCTTGCCCTCAAACAACTGGTTGCCACTCATCCAATCCAAACATGTCGCTTCTGGGGCAAACTCTTAGGTATTGAAGCCAACTATATTGTAGCTGAAGTTGAATTCCGTGAAGGAGAAGAAGAGGAAGAAGCAGAGGAAGAAGAAACTGCCGAGGAAGGACTAAAAGAGGGAATTGAGGCCAGGGATGAAGATGAAGAAGATGAAGAAGAAAAAGATGAGCCACCAAAACCCAACTACAAGCCACCACCTGTAATCCCAAAAGAAGATTATCGGACCGGTGCTAATAAATACACTTATTATGTTTGCAATGAACCAGGCAAACCTTGGATGAAATTACCCCAGGTGACTCCAGCTCAGATCGTGAACGCCAGGAAAATTAAGAAGTTCTTAGTGGGAAAGTTAGATGCTGCCGTTGTGTGCTATCCACCTTTCCCAGGCAATGAAGCTAATTATCTGAGGGCTCAGATTGCCCGCATTTCAGCGGCAACACAGGTCAGTCCACTCGGGTTTTATCAGTTTGGAGAAGAAGAAGGAGACGAAGAAGAAGAAGGCGGAGCTGGAAGAGACAATTATGAAGAAAATCCTGACTTTGAACCCATTCCTGTGCCAGAGATGTTGGATACCCTTTCCAACTGGGTGCATCATGTACAGAATATTTTAAAACAGGTATGCTTAACAAAATCTGCACTTGTTGCTAAGTGGTGTCAAAAAAAAAAATCAGAACCCCAGAACAGCTTTAGTGCTATCAATTACAACTCTAGTAATTTTTATTTTCTTAACACATTTCAGAAAAAAAAACATCCTCCGTAATTTTTCCCATCATTAAAATTAATGAACAAGGATAGAAAGCTTTATTGGTGGTGGCCTCCCTGATAATATAAGTGTTTTACACAATCAATAAAAACATAAGAAAACTAATTCAAAATAACCTGTTTTCTGTTTGTGTTCTCCAAGCATTCATACTAAAAAGCATCAGAAATGGTATAATGCTGGAAATAACACAATATACTTTTGTCAAAAAGCCACCGGTTCCCTAATCTGTCAGTATTTATGTATATAAATCTTTCTATTGATGTAATCTGCCTCTCACCTGTTACCTGCATTACACAGCTAATAATATGAAACAGGTGTAAGATTCTGATAGGAAATAAGGACAAGACAATCAGCTTTACTTTATTGAACCATGCTGTGTAGTTTATTTAACCTCTGGGATTAGATATATATGGATGTTCCTGGAAATTGACTATGCCTGTTCTGAAAGCAATGAAAATATTATCAGAATGATGGCAATAGAATAATAATTGTACATTTGTATGATGGTTTTACATAATTATCTTTAATGTAGTTAAATGTAGTAATATATAATGCAGTTAATGTAGATATTACATATATATGTATGTATGTATGTATAGTATATGTATATGTACGCTGCTCAAAAAAATAAAGGGAACACTTAAACAACACAATGTAACTCCAAGTCAATCACACTTCTGTGAAATCAAACTGTCCACTTAGGTAGCAACACTGATTGACAATCAATTTCACATACTGTTGTGCAAATGGAATAGACAACAGGTGGAAAGCAGAGGCAGTTAGCAAGACATCCTCAATAAAGGAGTGGTTCTGCAGGTGGTGACCACAGACCACTTCACAGCTTTGTTTGGGTATTTTCCCACCTCATTATAGTTGTGCTTTTAAAGTTGTAGCGACGTTTCGGCAGAATCTCATCTGTCATCAGGCTTCTGTATTGTGTTCATCGGTGAGTCAGGCTTTCATAGCCATTTCTGTTTTAAATTTGGTGCTAGCCCACTGCTGTGTTAGAATGGTTTTTTCTTCATCCTGATTGGTTGGGAGTCTTGGTCTGTGTTTATTGGTCTTGGAGTTTGCTGTGTTCTGCTTGATTGGTGTTTCTAATATCTTCTGTCTGTTTTGTAGCTTTTTTTTGTCTTGATTGGCTGGCAACATTGTGTGTCCTGTATTGGAGGCTTTTAGTGCAGCTTGGCTTCGAGTAAACGGACAGCTATCATTTATTAGGAAGCTAGGTTTCATCTGGGTGCCTGGTTGGGGTGTGTTTGAGCTGGAGGTATCGGGGGGGGGGGGGTCTGTTTGTGCCCAGGTGTTTGCTTGGCTTGTGGTGTGGAGATTTTTTTGTTTGTGAGTGCAGGCTTCCAAATAATTGACAGTCTGGTGGGTATATGCCCCCAAAATGATCCATACACTCAGGTATGGCACAATTTTAAAATGCCAGGCAGCTTACTGAAGGTGAATAAGCCTGACTGAG